GAGGGAAATCAGGTCATGGGAAGGGTAAGGGTGGTGGCGACAGACAGGGCGCTTCTTTTGTGACACATTTTCTGAGGCTGTGGGCACCAGCTTTTAGCCCTCTTACTGTTTCTTTGGGAATTGTTCTGCAATCAAAATAAACTGGGGGTGAGCAACAGCTGTAGCCAAGTGCCAAAGCGATTACCTGGCACGAGTGAAGCCCTGGGTTTGACTCTTAGCACTGAGAAAATGAATCAAAAGACAAACTGGGGGGAGAGAAGTAAAAACAAGCCCAGTCTGGTGGCACACACCTACAACCCCAGCACTCGGAAGGTTGAGGCACTTTAAGTCCATCCTAGTCTACATAGTGAGTTCCAGGCCAACCAGGCTTACATAATAAAACCCTGTCTGAGAGAGAGGGGGGGGGGAGGGGGAGGGGGAGGGGGAGGGAGGGAGGGAGGGAAGGAAGGAGGGAGGGAGGATGAGTCAAGAGGATCATGAGTTCAAGGCCAGCCTGAGCTATATAGTAAGGTCCTGTCTCAAAGAAAAATAGAGACAATCGTGCTCATAAGCAATAAAAGTCCAGAGTTAAGTTTCCAAACTCTATCCATCACTGGCTTGTAGGTAGGGATAAAAGCCCGTAAAAGGGAAGGCCTTGGAGTAGCACAGAATTCTTCCTGTCCACGTCTCAAGTCTGGCTTTGTGCTGCTTCCCCGGGGGACAGCAGCCCCTCTGCCCTCAGAGGCCCAGAGTCCTTTTTCCTTGCTGTCAGGGTGAGAGGTCCTGCCAGGTACTGACTGCTGGTAAGGGCCAAGACCAGAGAACTGAGGCTTGGGGGTAAAGCACCCCTGTGCAAACAGGAACATTAGCGTCTGGTCTGCAGAACCCGTAGAAAAGCTGTGAGCTCTGGGCTCAGCAAGAGACCTGCCTCAATGTATTTTTAAAAGAGGACAGGGACCGAAGAATCCTGGCATCCACTTGCACGTGCACTCATGTGGCCATAAATGTGAGAGCATGGACATGGACGTGCACAACAGGGGTCCATCTTCATGTGTAGGGCTGGGCTGAACTCCTCTAGCAGGGGCCATGGAGATTTCCATCTTCATAGTCCTCATTCCGCCCACACCCAGCATGCGGCAAGCCTTCAACTGTTCAAGAGCCTCGGAGAGGTTCACTGAATTCTGGCAGTCCGCTGCCTCCCTGGCCTCCTCCAGCCTTGAGAATCAAATCCAGTTTTCCTTGCCTCCCGGCCCTTCCACCTGCCCAGTCATCTCCCTGCCGTACCAGCCTTTTCTGTCTTCCCCTCTGAGGTGTACGGCATGGCTCTCCTCCTGCCCTCCCCCATCAGCTCACCCTTCCTCACCCTCTAGGCTTCTGCCTTAATTTTAGGGAGACCTCCCACCTGGGGACAACCAGATCCCCCGCCACCACCATGGTCTCATTCCCACCACCCTCCACTTCTTGGAGTCTGTGTGTAAAGACTTGTTTGCGAAAAACCCCTAGTCTCACACATCAATAGGGTTTATTAAGCCAGATGTGGTGGCACATGCTTTTAATGCCAGCACTTGGGAGGCAGAGGGATCTCTGTGAGTTCAAAGCCAACCTGGTCTACATAATGAGTTCCAGGACATTCAGGGCTACATTACCGAGACCCTGTCTCAAAACAAACAAACAAACATAATGTTTACTGAATGTGTGAGCTAAATAAGAAGAAACAATATTCACAAATACCCCTAGCCCAAGCTGCCCCTGTCAAAATCCACTGAAAGGCCAGGTGTGGTGGCGCACACCTTTAGACCCAGCACTCAGGAGGCAGAGGCAGGTAGATCAGCCGGCCCAGTGGACACAGTAAATCCCAGGCCTGCCAGAGTTCTATGATGAAACTCTTGTCTCAAAAACAAAACAATAACCCAAAACTCCACCAAAGAACGAAAGAGAGCTGGGCAGTGGTGGCACGTGACTTTAGCCCTAGCACTTGGGAGGTAGGCGGATCTCTGAGTTTAAGGCCCGCCTGGTCTACAGAGAGAGTTCCAGGACAGCCAGGGCTACACAGAGAAACCCTGTCTCAGAAAACCAAAACCAAAACCAAACCAAACAAACAAAGAAGAACAGAGAAGATGAAGAATCATAGAGGTTACGTCAGGTGAGTAGCTATGGCGGTCATATAGGGGCCAGAGGACGCAGCTTGGGAAAGGCCCACTTTTCCCATACTACATACCCAATGGTCCGCACCAGGAAGACAAGAGAGGTCTCTAGTTGCCATTACCAGGTGAGTAGTTACAAAACTCACGAAACGCCCAGCCCAGCTCCCAAGCACTAGCCCCTGTCCAAGCTGTGACAGGCCAAGCGAATCTGCGGGGCAACAGAGAGGCAGGGAATTCCTTTCCTTTTCCCACAACCATCGAACTGGAACCCAACACCACATCTGTAGCCAGATTCTGGCGAGAGTCCCAACACAGTTCTGAAAACCTTTCAACGGGTTCAGGCAAATTTCCCCTGGTGAACAAACTCATGCCATCAATCTTAAAAACAACAAAAAGCTGAGATTCGCATCTCAATCAGCTGTATGCAGGTCAGCTCTTTAACAGTCTAAAGCAATCAGCTCAGCCATCCACCGAGGTGGACAATGTTGGGCCACAGAGCAGATCTTGACCCGAACCTTGCCAGGTACTCCCAGTCAAGGAAGCACACAAGTTTCTGGTCCCAAAAGTCAACAGGTTACTCAGACTCCGAGAAGCAAGGAGGCTAGAGAGATAAGCTTCGTGGAATCAGCAGGCTTTCCCTGCTGAGGATGCTAGGTCAGCGCGTTTGCCAGATAATCAGAAAAACCAAAATCAGACAGAGGGGCAAAGGCACAGGATAAGAAGTTGATGTTCAACCCACAGTCCTGACCCTTCCCCTTCCCTCTGGTTCACAGGAATGACCTGTCAAGTCTCCCGGGCACGTAAATACCAACTCAGCGCTATGCGGGCACAGTCTCTGGAAGGGAGAAGGTTTCATCAGGAAAGCAATTTCCAACCCCGTGGTGCCCCTACCGTCCAAGAAATTGTGTAAGTGGACAATTTGACTTCACCAATACCACGAGTCAAAGAAAAGAAAGAAAGAAAGAAAGAAAAGAAACTCTGACCACAACAGTCCTCCGGTCTGGATGAGATACTAAAAGTGTTGTCTGAGGATGACGATTTTTTTTCTTTTTGTTTTAAACTCCCAGTGCACCCTGCAACAAAGAGAGGAAGAGCCATACACCCCTACCTATTTCTTCCCAGGGGGCCATTAATTTCCTAACATCTCTTAAGCAGAACAGAAAGCTTGGTCAGGGAACAAGGTCTGACTCTCTCATCTCAAGATTTCTTGCTGATGTGGAGAAACACCCGCCAAGAACCCTTAGGCTATTAGGAAATATTTTTGAGTGCTAAAGGCTAAAGGTTGGTTATAAACGATAGACTTTCTGCCCTCTCCCAGATGGCCTTTGAATTCCCTCCCTTTCTCCCGCCCTTCCCCTCTCCTGCTAAGCTCTGTACACTAAGACTCCTCTAGGCAGGTCGGAGAAGGGAAAGGAAAGTTGACTCAGAGTTACAGGGAGTGGGAGCGGGTCCAAAGCTTTCTCTTCCTGCTAAGAATAAGAGAGGCTGGGTGATGTAGCGTAGGCTTGTAATCTCAGCACCCAGGAGGAGATGAAAGGATTACAAATTAAAGGCTAGCCTGGGCTACATAGCAAGATACTGTCTCAAAAATAAAAGAAAAGCCGGGCAGTGGTGGCGCACGCCTTTAATCCCAGCACTTGGGACGCAGAGCCAGGCGGATCTCTGTGAGTTCAAGGCCAGCCTGGTCTACAGAGTGAGATCTAGGACAGGCACCAAAACCACACAGAGAAACCTCGTCTCGAAAAAAATCAAATAAACAAATAAACAAAAGAAAAAAATCACACACACAAACACCACCTTTAGAGCAGGGTGGTGGTTCACAGAGAAACAAACAAACAAACAATCATCTTTAGACGTGGCCCTTGCCACTGGGTTTTGTCAACATGACGAACAATCACACGGTGGAAGAAAAGAACCATCAACCAGGAGTCGGCGGCCTCTGACTCTCCACACAGTGCTCTACCCCCACCCCCACGCCAGTGAATAAATACAAGAAAGTAATTTAAAGAAAAGAAAAGAAACTAAAACGGCTCTGTAAACAAAAAGGCATGCTCGCAGTGACCTAAGGAGTCAAATCCCGGCCGCCTCTATCCAAGTGGACTCAAGCACGGGGTGGGACGCAGCAAAGACAAGAGGCATGTCTTACAAGGATGCCTAAGGAGGAGGGAGAGGTTAGTAGTGCCTGGGCCCTAGGGATGGGCTGACTCTCCTGAGCTGCGGCAGTCAGGGTCAGGAGACAGTGGAAGATGAAGGGCTACCCTCAGCCCGCCTTCAGACTGCTAAGGGAGCTAACCCAGCATCCTTTTCCTCACTGTTCCCCCTCCTCTTCCTCCCTACTATGTTTTGGAAGCCACTGAGATGTTCTCACAGTTCAGGAGAGGAAATGGCCTTTGGAGAATCATAAAGCAGCAAAAATAGACAAGAAATTATATCTTGGCAAGCCCTTAGGAGACTCCATAATGGCCTGACTTAAAAACATGTACATCTAGATGAACCTTCCTTCGGGTGGAGGCGAAGCCACTTCCTCTCTCTTGCTGCACCCTGGCCTATGAATCGAGTTCCTCTTTCTCATACATGTTTACTGCAAGGCCCTAGAGGGCTGGGAGGCTAGCAATGTTCCTGGATGCACACAGGGTCCTGAGTCTATTACTCTGCAGCTTGGGCAAATGGAAGACTGGTCCCAGCCTCAGTTTCTCCATCCACAAACGGGGACGATGATAATAATATGCACCCAGAGAGTTGGACCAGGATCAAATGGGCCTTTTGGCACTCAGAGGCTTGGGCAGCAAGCGGGCATTGCTTAGATCCGCACCACCACCCACCCTCTCCCAAAGCCCCACTCTAGGAACCTGCCCCTGCCCGAGGCATCCTTCTCACCTGGCTTCGTACACAGGTAGGAGTAAAAGCCCTCCGACTTGAGCATGATGAGCAGCGAGCCCCATCCCAGGAGGACTGCCGAGAAGAGGAGGTTTTCCAACACAGCGGTGCAGGCCATCCACCAGCGGCGCCGATGGGCAGTGGCCAGGGTGGGCGCCATGGTGCGGTGTGGCGGCGGCCCGGCTCGGGCTCTGCAGACACCTGCGCACAGACCTCAGCTTCAGCGGTGGCTCCAACCCAACCCGTGTGGCCGCTGGCGCACAGCGACCAGACTGTCAACCCCCAGGAGCCCAGGCTGTAGGTGCACGCCGCAGAAGATTCGAACCCCATCCCTGTCTGGGACCTGGGCCACCCTGAACCCGCGACTGGCTGGTACCACTACCTTCGGCCACGGTGGGGCCCTGCGGGCCAAGTGGAGAGGCTTCTCACTCAGTTCACTCGGAGGTAAACTGAGGCATGGCAGCTGGGAAGGGACTAACGCATGCTCAAGGACGTGGAGCTGGTCCTGGCCCCAAGCAAAATTGAATAGCTAGTATGGGGGCCGTAAAAGGAAGCAGTTGGCCGTACGGGCACCTGAACAGAGGCACACCTGAGCGCTGCCACTCCCAGGGACCGACAGGCTCCCGCCCGCCCGCCCGCCCGCACTGAAGACCCTTCCTTAGAGCTTGTTCCTTCAACCACAAGATCAGCGCAGGGAGCTCCGGAACGGCCCGCCCACGGCGCCTTTATTGGCGGGACCGCAAAGGAACTGCTGCGCCATTGGCCAGTGTCTAGGTCGCTAGGCGCTACCGCCACGCGAACCCCGCATGGGAGAGGCGAAGCCGGTTCAAACCGGCGGCGCGAGCCAAGCGCGCGACCCCCGGGCCGGGCTGCTCCCTTAGCGATTAGCCCGTTCCCATAGAAACAGGTCCAGTCCTTCCATCCTCCTGCTCTCCCTTTACGCCTCCCGCCCGGTGCCTCCCCTCTGACAAGCATGCACCGTCCCTCTAACCCCGGCCTGCGAGCCGCTTCAGGTTCCCGCACCCTCGTCGGGGGCCCGGATCTCGGGAGTCGTCGCGCTCACCCGGCTCCTACCGGTGTGTATCGGGCCCGCCCGGCGCCTTTTCTGTCCCCTTTATTTCCAGCCCTTTTATTCCTACCCTAAGATGAAAAACACTGCTGCCCGTTGATTGGCCGAGTGGGGCTGGAAACAGGCGTTGGCCAATCAGCAGCTACCCGCCCGCCCCCCGGCGAGCAGAAGCCGGTTCCGGCCGGACTTGGAGACAAACAAGAGGAATGGGGGGGCTGGGGGGCGGCTTGGGCAGGCCCGGCTCTACCCAGTGACACTGGAGTGCCCCCCCCCCCCGACCCGGAGCCCCCGCGGGCATCGCCCCACACGCTGCTCGGAGCCCTCTTCCCGGTCAAATCCCTGGGTCAGCATTTCAGGGAGTCTTGGTCCACCCTGAGCTGGGCTCCAGCCCCGTGTCGCTCGCTCGGCCCGCCGTGTAGACCCGGGTCCCCACCCGGAGAGAACCACGGTTGGATGCTCCTGCTCCGCGAGCCATTGCTGCCCTTTGGGGCTGCGCTGCCCGGCCCGCTCCCGGGGCTTTGTCTGCGGGTTCCTCGCTGCCCTGCCTCAGTTGTCCTATCCAGGCGCTGTCTGCGGGTGTCGGAAACTCCCGACCCAGGCAGGTCCTGGTGTCGTGTACCGCATCCCTGCTACATCTCCCGATTCACCGGCCCCTTGCCCTCAGGTGCCTTCTGCCTGGCCCAAAGTCGGTGGTGTCTTTTAAGGATCTGTAGTCCGGTTTTAGGACCGAGACGTCCCTGGTCATCCATCCAGACGCCACCGTCCCCATCCGGTGCCCGTTTTTCTCGGTGCCCTCGGAGACCAGTGTTCAGACCGGTCACCTTGGTGCGCCCTGCCCTCCCTCCCTCCTTCCCTTTTCCCAAACGTCTCTTTCATGTGGCTGACACACTCACTCTTCCACCCCTCGGGCTGTGGGCAACTCCAAGCAGCTAGTCTAAGTCTGGCTTTAGAGAGCGCTGCGGGTCGCTAGGGGTCTGGAGGGCTCCAACCTTTCTGTATCATCACCAGAACTGCACTGCCCTGAGGACCTGCCGGTACGGGAGGCGAAGCCTCGGCTCGAGCGGTTCACTTTCCGCTATGTCTCCCTGACCAGAGGCCCTAGCCCCCCCTCGGAAAACACTCGGCGTCCCTCAGATTCTCCATACTTCAAGAGCTGACTTGCTAAGGGCTGTGGGAATCCCCCCAAGCCTGGCTCCGCTTCCCTCAGTTCAAGTGCGCCCCCTGGTGCCCTGAACCTTCGCCAGCCGTCCTGCCAGCCCATGCCCTCCCAGACTTGGTCTAGGCTTGTGGGTGGGTTTTGGGGGTCTGATGACCCACTATGCAGAATCCCACAAGCTCCAAGTTGGACCTGCCACCTGCAAATATACTCAGCCCTTCAATCTTTTCCCTGAGCCCTCTGCTTGAGGACTTTCTCCAGACATATCTCTAAAATGTTCTTCTTAAAATTGTGCCCCCGCCTTCTTCCTCGGATAATAGTACTATTTTTTTTGGGGGGGGGGCGCGGTATTGAGACAGGATCTTACAATGTAGTTCTGGCTGTCCTAAAACTCACTATGTAGACCATGCTGGCCTCTGCCTCCCGAGTGCTGGGTTAATAACATCTAATGAAGTTAGACACTGTGAACTTACCTCTTCAACAGAAAAGTTAGATAATCTACTGTGAGTCTCCGCTTCTCTTCCCCCTTCCCCTCCCCCCCTCCCCCCCTCTCCCATTGCATCAGTATAGCCAGGCGTTCCGTTTATCTAATCTGCCCATTTCTGTCCCTGAGACGCAACTATTCATCCAGCAATCTCTGCATCTCATATCCACCTCGCAGGGAATTGTGGGAAATGTAAACCTGACCTTGATAAACCTGACCTCTTGCTAGATCCTGCAGAAAGCCTCTACCATTTGTTCTGCTAGATAAAGTTCAAGTTCCCCAACTGACTCACCCATGCTGCTTCCTACACAACAGCCTTTTCCTCCTCCTGCTCCTGGGTGCTCCAACCTCGTGGAATTGCTCAGGTTCTGTTTCCTCTTCTCTCACTAGGGGCCCTATCTTGGGCAGCACCTCCTCTGGGAAGCCTTCCCTAGCCACACTCTGGAATGCCTGCATCTCTTTTTGTCTGATGTCTGTAATGCTTTATAATATGCATCCCCATTTTCCTCTCACTGGAAACTCCTTGGGGGCAGAAATGTCTTGGTCATTGGTACTTCTAGCCCTTCATACTAAAGTAAACTCTTTTTTTTTTTTTTTTTTTTTTTTTTTTTTGGTTTTTCGAGACAGGGTTTCTCTGTGCAGCTTTGCGCCTTTCCTGGGACTCACTTGGTAGCCCAGGCTGGCCTCGAACTCACAGAGATCCGCCTGGCTCTGCCTCCCGAGTGCTGGGATTAAAGGCGTGCGCCACCACCGCCCGGCTACTAAAGTAAACTCAAGCCGCTGTACAGTATGAGTTTGTGGGATGGAACACGAGCAAGGGAAAAGTAGCCGCTTCTAGGACACAAGATCGTGCACCACTGGAGGATTATGGTAGTGTCAATGATGGTTACCTTTTATTGATAGCTAGACTTTTCCTAGGTGCTTTGACATCCTCTGTGTCAACCATCCTAGATATAGCCATTATCCTTATATTCCAGATGAAAGACTGAGGATTTAGGTGGCTTTCCCAAAGCAATGAAACGTGAAAGGAGTCACTGTTGAGATGGCCCAGGTCCATCTGAATGAAACTTTTTGTTTTTAATTTGGGAGTGCCCAAGCTAGACTAGCAGGGCTCCTGGCAAATTTATAAGCCAGGAGTTGCAGTCCAGAGTGTAATCCCAGCACTTGGGAGGCAGAGGCAGGTGGATCTCTGTGAGTTTGAGGGCAGCCTGGTCTACAAAGCAAGTTCCAGGACAGCCAGGGCTACACAGAGAAACGCTGTCTTGAAAAACAACAACAACAAAAAGAGAATAAAGTCACACTGCCTGGCTTGAGACCCTGAAAAAAAAAAAAGAAGAAAGAAAGAAAGAAAAGGAAAGGAAAGGAAAGGAAAGGAAATTGTAAGTCATGTCTGGTGGCTCACACTTATAATCCCAACACTTAGGAGAATGAAACAGGTGGATTGCCATGTGTTCCAGGGCTGCCCGGGATATATATTGAGTTCCAGGTCAACCTGAGCAATAGAATGAGACTGTCTCAAAAACAAAAAGAATTTAATATAACCAGATAATATGTAGAAAAATGCAGTCACTTTAAAGGTCTGAAAAGAACCTCAACCTTAGAATGAACATAGAAATTCAAATAGTAACAAGACCTCTTTTTTTTTTAAGTTCACAAATGTTTTGTCTAATGTACACCACATGCATGCATTACTCACGGAGGCCAGAAGAGGGCATCGGGTCACCTGGAACTGGAATTAAGTGGCTGAATGGCCAAGGAGGTGATGGGAAGCAAACTTAGTCCTCCTCAAAAGCAGCAAATGATCTAACCACGGTGCATGCGTGTCTGCACACCAGAAAAGGGCATGGGATCCCATGGGACTACAGTTATAGAAGATTGTGAGCTGCCATGTGGGTGCTGGGACCTAAAAGATACTTTTCTAAAGGGGGAGGTGGTGCTGGGTATCAACCCCAGGCCCTTACATATGCTAAGCAAGCTCTCCATCATCAGTTACAGCCACAGGCCCGATGATGGGATGATGGTTTTGGGTTTTGTTTTGTTGTTTGTTTTTCTGAAACAGAGTTTCTCTGTGTAATCCTGGCTATTCTGGAACTCACTGTATAGACCAGGCTGGCCTTCAACTCAGAGATCCACCTGCCTCTGCCTCCTGAGTGCTGGGATTAAAGACATGAGCCAGCACTGCCCAGCTAACGGTTTTGGTTTTGTGTTTGTTTTTCTGTACTTTTCTGTTTGCATGCATGAGTACACATACTTGTACATGTTCATGTGTGTGCACCTTCATATGGAGGAGGCCAGAGTTCTGTATAAGGTGTCATCTTTTTTTTTAAAGATTTATTTATTTATTATGTATACAAAACCATCATTACAGATGGGTTTGAGCCACCATGTGGGTGCTGGGAATTGAACTCACGACCTCTGGAAGAGCAGTCAGTGCCCTTAACATCTGAGCCATATCTCCAGCCCGGGTGTCATCTTAATAGTATTCCACCTTATATTTTGACCCACTATGTGGACCAGGGTCTCTTATTGACCCTGGAGCTTCTAAAGTAGGCTAGGCTGGCTGGTCTGCAAGCCCCAGGGATCTCCCTGTCTCTGCCTCCTCAGCACTGGAATTAAAGATGCTCACATTGTACTCAGCGCTCCTAACACCACCACTTTGGGTTTTGTTTTTCTGAGATAGGATCTCCCTATATAGTCCAGGCTGGCATGGAATCCTCCTGCCTCTGCCTCTGTACGGGTATGCGCCAGAATGCCTATCATTTTTGAATGAATAAAGAACATTTTTTTTGCTAGTCTAACGGGATGTATGCCTGTAATCCCAGCACTTCAGAGTCTAAACATGAAGATCCAGAGTTCCAGGCCAACCTTGGCTGCCACAGTGAGACTCTGTCTCAAGAAAACAAGTTTTGTGTTTGTAGAAGGATTTTAAGTTTTAGCATATAATATTATATTTATTATTGCTTTTTTTGTGTGTCTAAATACTGAGCTACTATTTTTTTTTCTTGGTTTTTCGAGACACTGAGCTATTATTTTTAACCTGTCAGATTTTGTGTGAGGGAATGAGTACTCTCATAGTTTTTTTTTTTAGGTTTTTCTGTTTGTTTGGTTGGTTCACTGGTTTTTTTTTTTTTTTTTTTTTTTTTTTTGGTTTTTCGAGACAGGGTTTCTCTGTGTAGCTTTGCGCCTTTCCTGGAACTCACTTGGTAGCCCAGGCTGGCCTCGAACTCACAGAGATCCGCCTGGCTCTGCCTCCCGAGTGCTGGGATTAAAGGCGTGCGCCACCAACGCCCGGCTAGGTTTTTTGTTTTTTCAAGAGAAGGTTTCTCTGTGTAGCCCTGGCTGTCATGGAAGTCACTCTGTAGACCAGACTGGACTTGAACTCTGAGGTCCACCTGCCTCTGCCTCCTGAGTACTGACATTAAAGGTGTGCGCCACCACAACCACCTAGTACTCTCATAGTTTGTAAGAATACAAACCCATACGGTGTTTTGGAGGGCCATTTGGAGCGAACATATACATTCCTTAATGTTCTTATCAAGTCCTTAGCATCTCACTTCTAAGCAAGTGCTTTAATATACTCTCAACTCCACAGCATCATTTTGTATTGAAACAATTAGAAACAGCTACCCAAGCCAGGTGATGGTGACACACACCTTCAATCCCAGCTCTTGGGAGGCAGAGGAAGGCAGATCTCTCTCTCTCTCTCTCTCTCTCTCTCTCTCTCTCTCTCTCTCTCTCTCTGGTTTTTCGAGACAGAGTTTCTCTCTGTAGCTTTGGAGCCTGTCCTGGACTAGCTCCGTAGACCAGGCTGGCCTGGAACTCACAGAGATCCACCTGCCTCTGCCTCCCGAGTGCTGGGATTACAGGCGTGCGCCACCATCACCCGGCAGATCTCTTGAGTTCGAAGCCAACCTGGTCTACAGAGTGAGTTCCAGGACAGCCAGAGCTACACAGAGAAACCCTGTCTCAAAAAACGAAGGAAAAAACAAAATACAAAAAAAAAAAAAAAACCAAACCAACTGCTCATGGACAGGAGGGGTAGCTTATGATCTATGTTATTCCACACAATGGAATTCCATTTATTTTGGTTTTGAGACAAACCTAACTGGCTCCAACGTGCTATGTAGCCTGAGGATAACCTTGAACTTCTGCTCATCCTATCCCCACCTCCTGCTGCTGAGATTAGGGCCATGGACCACCACATCCATTTTGGTGTTGCTGTTATTTGTTATTGTTTCTTTAGTGTCATCAAATTTTATGAGAAAGCTTTATATTCACTGACACCTAAAAGTAAAGCTAAGTATGGTTACACATGCTTTTAATGCTGGTACTAAGGAGGTAGAAGCAGGTGGATTTCTGTGAGTTCCAGGCCAGTCAGTCAAGGTACATAGTGAGATCCTATCTTAAAACAAAACAAAATAAACAAACAAACAAAAAAAACCATAATTTGTAAGACAACAAGAAGGGATGCTTTTCACCATGTATCCTGAGACAGAAAGTGAGGCTGGCCATGTGGTCCAGTGGATAGAGGCACCTGCCACAAGCCTCGTGACCTGAGTTCCATCCCTGGAATCCACAAGGTAGCAAGAGAGAACCCATATCCAATAGTTGTCCTTGAAGTACCACAGGAATACATTGGAAAGGGTGCATGCACAGGAACATACAGGCACACACACATATACAGGCACACACACACATACACACACACATACACACATATACACACATACACACAAATATACACACATACACATACATACATATACACATACATACATATACACACACATACACATACACACATATATACACGTACACACACATACACATACACACATACACACAAATATACACACATACATACATATACACACACATACACACATATATACACGTACACACACATACACATACACACATACACACAAATATACACACATACATACATATACACACACATACACACATATATACACTTATACACACGTACACACACATACATACACATACACACATACATACACACACACACACACACACACACACACACACACACACACACACACAATGTCTGGAGGGATGACTCAGGGATTAAGAGCACTTGTTCTTGCAGAGGACACAGGGTTTGACTCCCAGCACCCACAGGGTGGTTCACAGCTGTCCTGTAACTCCAGTTCCAAGGGATCCACTTCCCTTTTCTGACTTCTGAGGGTACCAGGCACACACATGTCTTGTTTTTCGATACAAGGTTTCTCTAGGTAGTCCTGGCTGTCCTGGAACTCACTCTGTAGACCAGGCTAGCCTCGAACTCAGAGATCTGACTGCCTCTGCCTTCTAAGAAATGAGATTTAAGGTGTGCCCTGCCACTGCCTGGCATTAAAAGAAAATCCAAAAGAAAAAGAATTTAAAGAGAAGTTGGGATCAGTGATGTAGTTTGGCAGTATGTAGTGGGTAGCCGTTCCAGTTTTGACCTGGAAATACCACCCCCTTTGAGACTTTGGCAACTGTCACGCCTACAAGACAGAGCCGAGAGAGGACCCCTGAAGACCCGGGATCTGGATGTGGGAGCTCTCTCGGTTCCTGGACCCTGGATGCTGGAGGTAGACCCAGCAGAGTTCTTCAGAGAACACCGCCGGACTGCACTACACCTTTCCCAGACCCTGTTACCTATCCCTTCACTTGTAAGTTACCCCACAAAATAAACCTCCCTTTTAACCACGTGGAGTTGCCTTAATATTTTAACCAATAGCAGTAGGGCGGATGCTTGGTATGAATGAGACCCTGGGCCCAGTCTCAATACAGAACTGAAAATACAGTAATGGGAGAGCAGGAACTATACCGTGGCCTGTGCTTGTTACTTACTTTATACTTTCATGTATCAGGTTTTTAAAATTTTGATTGTTTTCCATATGTGTGTGTGTTGCCTGCATGTGTATTCTGTAAGCTGCTTCATGCCTCCTGTCCTCAGAGGCTGGGTTGTGAGCCACCATGTGGGTTCTAGAAATCAAACCTGCATCCTCTGGAAGAGCAGTCAGTGCTCTTAACCACTGAGCCATCTCTCCAGAGGCACATAGCAAATATTTTAGAATAACATATTTAGCCACTGTGCAGAAACCAGTTTTAAGAAATACTTGTTCCATTGGGCTGATGTGTAGCTCAGTTGGTAGCACACTTGCCTACCATGCCTGAAGCTCTATGAAGCAGAAAACTAAGGTTGTACAGGCCAGCCCTTGGGAGATAGAGGCAAGAGGATGATAAATCCAAGGACGTTTCCAGCCACAGGACAAGTTTGAGACCAGCCTGGGCTACATGAGAGACCCTGTCTCAAAAAAGAATGACTAGCCAAGTGGCTCAATGGTTAGAAGCACTTGGGTCACAGGCCTGGCAACCTGAGTGCCATCCCCCGGACTCACAAGGTGACAGACAGTAAGGAACTAACTCCCAAGAGTTGGCCACTGACCTCCAGGTTGTGGCACTACCCTTCCCTCAAATAAATGAATTAATAAATTTTCTAAGAGAAATACTTGTTTAATCAATCTTTATCATCAGGCATTTAGGTTGTTTTCCATTTCAGAAAAAAAGATGTTTTGAAGTGATGGAAAGAGTAGTCTTGGGACTGAGTCCAGGACAACAGAGGAAGAGCCCTGCAGCTACCTCCTTCCGCTGACCCCATTCCGCAGGGTCTCTATCCAGGCCTTCCAGCCCCACCTGGGGACACTGCCAGGGCCAGACCCACAGCCAGGTGGCCTCTAACCCTTGCCTCTTCCAGGGCATAGTTTCTGCTTAGTCTGCCGCAGCCTTGGCATCTGTTCCCGGCACAAAGCCTGATCTGGTCCATAACAGTTTCAGCGGCTTCCTCTCTCCACATCCCCATCCAGTCTTTCCATTCACCAAATGCGGGGTCTTCAGTGCTTTGGTGGCACAGACCTGAGTGCAACATTCTCATACAGGGGCTCCTCCGGCTCCTTCTCTTTGGCCTGCTTCTGGGAACCCTGTCCCAGGGAGCTGTTCCCAGAGACTGGCTCCTGGACGGTCTCTAAGCTCTCAGTGCCATCTCCCAGACCTCTGGATGCTTCCTCTGGCCTAACCATGGTATACTCTATGGTTCCAGAGAGCATGGCATCTGGAGCTGAGCCAGAGCTCTGGGAGAGCCCAGGGCTGCCCTGGTTCCGACCCGGAGATCGGCGTAAAGGCTTAGCGATGGCACTCTTGACCTTGGGTGCCTTCTGATCTTTCTGGTAGTTTCCCAAACGACGGATGACAGACCAGACAGAGCCCTCGGGTTTCTGGGGTGACCCTGCCAGCATGTAGATCGTGGCCACAGAGCCTGAGCTCTCCTGGATGCTGCTGGTGGTGGTTTCCACACAGTCGGCCACTCTCTGGTTACTAGGTGGGAGTTGGTGGTGACTAGTGGTAGCCTCTCTGGGGCTTGTGGCAGTAGGAGCATCCTCCTCTGTATTTGCTTGCTCTGGGCCTGCAGGCTCCTCGGCCTCCTGCCCTTCAGGACGCGGCTGAGCCCCTCTGGAGAGTCTCTTGGGTTTTCGGATGGGGCTGGAGAGATCCCCAGAGCTCCGGCCATTCTGTGACACAAACTTAGTACCTTCAGCAAAGGAGACAGATGGCCTCTTGGCCCGAGCCAGGCTGGAGGTGCGAGGGATGGGGAATGGTGTGGAAGCATCCTCAGGGGGAGGGAAGGGGCCTCCAGGAAGGCTGGCCGCTGGCGACTCTTTTTGGGCCACAGAGACCATCTCTGGCAGGGGAGAAGACAGAAAGAGCTTGTGTAAGGCTAGGCATGCTGCTGTAATCCGTTCTACCCGGGGCACAAAAGCACAGAATCTTCCCAGAGGCCTCACGAAGTGGCAGGGAAGAGTAAGGCAGGGGAGGGGCTGGTGCAGTGAGCTCCAGGCCTTCCCTCTTTTCTCTCTACCCCTCCCTGCTTTGAGCCACTACTGCACAGGGGCCCGTTTATCCAAAATGCCATCACTACTGCCTACTTATCACTTGCTAATTCCTACTGATTCTTCTAGACTCAATGCAGTTATTACTAACAGACACATGCCTTAACCCAGGCTACCCCAGACATGGGTAGCTTCGGAGTTCCTCCTTTTTTTACCTGTCCCACTAAAGCATGACTATTGTGACTGTCCTCTGAGCCAAGCAACTGCCATGTTGGACTGTTCAGCTGTGCCCTTGGAAAAGGATTATCCCAGCTGTTTACATCCTCTTATGGAGGGGTGGAGAGTATCCTGAGTATCCAGCCCTTCCTACTACCTGTTGTGTGCCTGGTTTTTTTTTGTTTGTTTGTTTGTTTTTGGCTTAACACAGATGCATGTGTTAAATGCATGTGGCCTCTGGGGAGGGGCTAGATTATATAGGCTGGGGAATACACAGGAGAGGAGGGCTCCATCCGTGTGGCTGGGTAAGCCCACATCCTATGGGTAAAGGCTTTCTAGATATGGCCTATTGCAGGGAGGAGCACCCATACCCCTATAAATAAACCCTCATTATACGGAAAACAGATAAATTCGTTGGTTCCCAGAATAAGCTTTGGTGGCATCGTGCCTCGGTTTGTTGTTGAGACCTTAATTTTAGGAGAAGGGGTAGATATTGCTTATGTTTCTCCCAGAAGGAATTTTAGGACAATTCTATCCTCTATTGTCTGGTAACATTTCTTTTTTTTTTTTTTTTTTTTTTTTAAAGACAGGGGCCTCTCGCCGGTGATGGCGCACACCTTTAATCCCAGCACTTGGGAGGCAGAGGCAGGCGGATCTCTGTGAGTTCGAGGCCAGCCTGGGCTACAGAGTGAGTTCCAGGACAGGCTCCAAAGCTACACAGAGAAACCCTGTCTCAAAAAGCCAAAACCAAAAAAAAAAAAAGAAAAGAAAAGACAAGGCCTCTCTACATACCTCTGGCCATCCTGGAATTCACTGTGTAGACAAAGCTGGCCTTGAACTCACCTGCCTCTGCCTCCCAAATGCTGAGATTAAAGGCATGCGCCATTACGCTCAGCATGACTTTTCTTTTTACTGCCCACCAGACCACAGGCGGGGGGAGGACAGGACTCTCCTTTGTTCTGAATTTGTTCTCAGAGCCAGAATCAGCAAATGGAGAAGAATAAGCACGAGACACATTCACTTAAGGAGCACAGACGGCTCCGAGATGGGCCAGGCTGCTGGGGCTGGGGCTGCTGGGGCGGGGGGCTGCTGGGGCTGGGGCTGCTGGGGCGGGGGCTGCTGGGGCGGGGGCTGCTGGGGCGGGGGGCTGCTGGGGCGGGGGCTGCTGGGGCGGGGGGCTGCTGGGGCTGGGGGCTGCTGGGGCGGGGGGCTGCTGGGGCGGGGGGGGCTGCTGGGGCTGGGGGCTGCTGGGGCGGGGGCTGCTGGGGCTGGGGGCTGCTGGGGCGGGGGGCTGCTGGGGCGGGGGGCTGCTGGGGCTGGGGGCTGCTGGGGCGGGGGGCTGCTGGGGCGGGGGGGCTGCTGGGGCTGGGGGCTGCTGGGGCGGGGGCTGCTGGGGCGGGGGCTGCTGGGGCTGGGGGCTGCTGGGGCGGGAGGCTGCTGGGGCTGGGGCTGCTGGGGCGGGGGGCTGCTGGGGCTACCTTCTCGAGGTGGCATGAAGTTGGCGTGACCTTCATCTTCTTCTCCAGAGTCAGAATCAGAGGAGAAGGAGTCATCAGAGGCCCAGCCGGCAGAGGGAGGCTCGATAAAGCTGTGGTTGAATGGGACCTCCGGGTCGTGGTGAGAAACTGTAGGGGCTCCAGGTCAGGTCTGCTGCCTCAAGGGAAGCCTTGTCCCATCGAGGCCCTAGACTGCTGACCCTGACCCCCAGTGCTCACTTACCTGTCACCCAGGGTAGCTTGTAGTTACTGAGAGAGCCACAGGACAGCGTGGAGCCCAGGCTGGTGAGGGCCCCCCACACCTGCTGCTTCATTCTGAACAAGGCAGCTCCAGTTCTCTCTGGCCTGAGAGGATGGCAGAGGGAGGGTGATCAATGTACAGGACCTAAGGGGGCCCAGGCCAGACTAAGAGGGTGTGACAGATGACTACATTTACTCCAGTGGCCCTGCGTTGATGATAGAATAAAACCCAAACTATGGAGTGTTGCAGAATATTTGTTTACACTGTGAAGGTATATGTCTTTGCCAAGGTGTCTTCTGGTCATTTTAATAAAGGGCTGAATGGTCACTAGCTAGGCAGGAAGAGGTTAGGTGGGACTTCCGGGGACAGAGAGGACTCTGGGAAGAAGAAAGGCAGAGACACTAGGAGATGCAGAGCAAGCAGGATGTGCAGGAGGAGGGTAACAGCCACAAGGCAGAATGGAGAATATATATCATTAATATAAATGAGTTAATTTAAGTTATAAGAGCTAATTAGGAACAAGTCTAAGCTATAGATCGAGCTTTCATAATTAATAAGACGTCTGTGTGTTGTTATTTGGAAACTGGCGGGTGGGACAGAAAAAGACTCGTTACAATGGAGCCCAAAATCTAAATCACAGAAGGAAGCATGGCTCTGGAGCAGTTGTTCTAACCCATGGGTCGCGATCCCTTTGACAAACTTCTATCTACAAAAATACTGATATTACAATTCATAACAGTAGTGAAATTACAGTTATGAAGTAGCAACAAAAATAATTTTATGATGGGGGGGGTCACCACAACATGGGAAACTGTATTAAAGGGCCACAGCATTAGGAGGGTGGAGAACCACTCCTCCAGAGCCAGGCA